TCTTGCGGATGGGTTGTTGAACACGTAAGATCTATTCGACTCAATTTCCATGGTTTCCGTTGCTGACCATTTTAACCAACCGGATCACCACATTGATGACGTGCGTGTGTGTGGCTGCCAACTGACAACATATTACATAGCTCACATCGAACCACATGACTGAGCAGAAATTAATTCTGAGGTTGGTTGTTTAAATCCAGGAGGCATGAACGTAACTTTAATTACGTGTGATTTTTGAGTCCTTGTCTTTGTTTGTGTGTGTTTGTGTGTGTGTGTGTGTGTGTGTGTGTGTGTGTGTGTGTGTGTGTGTGTGTGTGTGTGTGGTGTGTGGTGTGTGTGTGTGTGTGTGTGTGTGTGTTTGTGTGTGTGTGTGTGTGTGTGTGTGTGTGTGGTGTGAGTTGTTTGTGCGCGTATATATATATATATATATATAGTATATATATATATATATATATATATAAATATAGTATATTATATGTGCGTGTTCTTTGCTTGTCGTCCGTATCATGGCACGCGCGAATTGTGTGAATCATTCATTTTTGGATTATCTATAACGCATTGTATTTGTTTTTGATTATTTGATTCGATTCCCAATATCTTGCTGACCTGATGAAGAGATGTAATCTCGAAAGCTCGTCAATTAAACTTTAAACACCCTTATTCTATACCTTGACTTTGTTTATATATATATATATATATTGTAACGGCATAAACATCTGTCCCGGTAAATGCGTTGTTGGCAATCAAACCATAAATATAGGCCTATATGTGCTATATGAGACAAACTAACAGCACACTTATAATATTACCCTAATGCCCAATATATATATATATATATATATATATATATATATATATATATATATATATATATATATATATATATATATATATAACATATATATATATAAAGAAAAACTCGTTTCCTTAATGAAGTTTTATATCACTAGAAAAATGTAAGCGACACGCTGAAAACAATGAAAGGGAACTATAATGTCAATACAGTAAATCGATAACTGGTCAGAGTTCTCTCTCTCCGTTAATAATACTAACTGGACAATATCCCATAACTGTACAATATATATAATATATATATATATATATATATATATATATATAATATATCATAGTATATATCTGTATATATATATATATATATATATATTAAAAAAGGAATAATCCGACATTCCGTTATACACTAGCGTTTTCATCATTATTCTTTTTGTCAAATACATTTGGCATCAGTTTGGTTGCAGGAGCTGCCGGGAGGATGGCGAGTGCCGAGACATCCAGCCGCCTCGGAGGCTCGATCCACTCCTCCGGATTTTCTGTCTGAATTTACTTCCATAGCTTTCACTTCTACCGAAGATGTCCCACACGGCAGTGGAGAGCTGAGAGGTACTACACCTGGCTCAGGGGTGACCTGGAGGTAGTTAATTGTGACAAAGGGTAAGCTAGCTCATTCTCCCACGTTGAAACTCCAAAACCGGATGCAGTTTTAAGTCATACCCAGAGCCCATATATAAATAAATAAATAAATATATATATATATATATTGTAACGTCATATACAGCGCCGGATTAACAGTTGCCTAGGCCGGGGGCATATCATATATTTGGGCCGCCCATCCACCCCCTTCCCCTTCCCATAAGCAAGAATATATACTTTCAACATTTTAATATGACTTTTTTAACACAAAGCACAATTTGTTTACAGAATCACTTTTACAGAAATACTTTTGAGATTTAAGTGTAGCAAAGCACGAGATGAGATTCATCCATATCTATATAACAAGTCCCATCATACCATGTTCAATGCTCAGGAGTGACAGATTCGACATTCGATGTTGTCCATGCTGGGCGCAGGTAGTTTTTCACTCTCTTGAGACACTGAATGATCTCTCACCGCTGCAGTTAGTCATCATCAGAGATAAAAATATTGAGAGCATGGTGCCAACGTTTGGAAGAGAATTTCGAAGTGCTAGGTTGCCATCATCACGCGATGTCATCCCAAATCTCTGGAGCGTCATTTTGCTTGGAGACAGGTAGTCACCTTCAGATGCAAAAATCTGACCTCAGAAATGGAGGAAAAGAAGAGGAGTTCACTGGAGAGCTCAGGTTCAAGGTCACTTGGATAACTATCCACCAATACCTTTGCATACTTGTCCATTTCTTCAGCAGAAATGCTAGTTAGCCTTCGAAGGAACCCAAATTTCCCACTGATGGTTGAACAGTATAATTTTTTTTTGTAGTCACAACACTTTAGGGCCGGTCGACTAGTAGGGCCGGGGGCAAATACCTCCTTTGCCCCATTGATAATCCGCTACTGGTCATATATACATCTGTCCCGGTAAATGCGTTTGCAATTAAACCATATATGTGCTATATGACAAAGTAATAAAATATACCTAATGCGCATGTATTTTAACTAAGCGAATATCGTGGATTTTGTGGAATTCTATGCGGGATGCCATGTTATTATCATTTATTATTTTACATTGACGTTTATTTGTGAAACCATTTATTTTTGAGTTATATACACATCTACACGAAAAGTTTTGATTTTGACTGAAACACAATTTCTTGTTGAGCTGACAAAACTTGCATGTTTTATTTTATTGTTGTTCTACATTAGTAATCTGAAATAACCATCGCCGCGTGGAATCGTATACTCTACTAAATGGAGATAATATTTTGATGCTATGCAATTACAAGTTCATAGTATTTGCTGTTAGATAAAAACAGCTGACTGCTACACGTGGCTTAATGTTTATGTTGTCGCCGCGCTAGCGATCAAGCGAAAGGCGTGCTTAGCGTTAGAAAGAATCACGTGATTCAAACTAGCCAATCACCGCCGTCTTGTCGTTAGTGTTCGTATAAAAGCAATGCTTGTGTCGAGCTGCGTAGCCATTGTCACTGACGTTATGTGTGATGTTCGAAGGAAATCCCCCTAAAATCATGGATACCACTGATCATCCGGCAGTACAAGGCTACCAGCAGTCGGCACAGAACACGAGTGTAGGGTATGGTACATTTTTTAACCTTACCGTAAAAATCTAGATGAAATGGCCCGATAATAGCTAAACATCTGATACTAGCTCTGAGCCTAGACGTTACCTACCCGCCATTTTACTGGTAAACCTCGGTTTATATTCGATTTGCTCAACCAGAAAATTGCAAAAATTACTAGGTTCAAACAAAGTATAGTTTCACGAGATATGTGTGTCTAATTGACTTGTAAGTATCCTTGTTTTTATTAAATATCGACACAATTGGTCTTGATTTTCAATCGGTAACCCGCCTCGGAAATTCATTTCATTGTCTTTGAACTTCTAGCAACTAGTGTAATCGCTACCGAGATTTTCTGTGCAATAATCCATGATTTTTAGCTAGTATGATGAATGGGTAAAATTTTGACTAGACCAGCTAATTTACGTAGCGTGTGTGAGGTAAGAAATTTTCTCAGTGAAATTTTGTGAAGAAATTTTGTGCGCCAGAACGAAGGAAGAACGCCCGCGTACTGTAGCTACAGCAGGTGGGCCGTGGACGCGCGTGACGTCAGGTAGTACGGAATACACCATTTGATTACTTAGGGGTGATCAGCTAAATGTGCGCAGCTGAACTGTATATATCAATAGGGTTTTAATTCTCTGCTTGTATTCAGTTCTAGTTATTTAACATCTTGGATCATTATATCGTTAAGCACAAGAATTGAAGAAACCTACAACTGTTTTTGTCAGTTGCGAACTACACGTGTATATATCCATACCCACTAAAATTATAAAAGTAACATTTTTGCATACTTCTGTTTCGTTAAAGTGTGAATAAAATGATTTATTTGTTCCATCATAATTGATTTGAATCATTAACGTCATTATGGTTTATAGTTATTCAAGAAAGGTGTAGTGAATAATATGATTTTACTCGTGTGCGTTCATGGTTGCTGGGCACATACAAAGATTATTTGGAATCCCAGATAGCCACAAGATTAATTAGGAAGCAGTTCACTTACTGACTAATTACATCTAGCAAGGATCATAATGACTATGATAGTAAAACCCAACTGCATGTAAAATTTTGATGCTAGTTTTCCCTTTTCGACTCTAATCCACCCTTCTCTTCCTGTGCACATGTATAACGTCTAGTAGAGAATGTTGCGACGTGCCTGAAAATCATGAGGTGATGAATTGTACGAGTAAAGCTAACCTATCACATTGACGTGTAACGTCTACCGGATGAGGGTTGCAACATGAATGAGTAAAAACAATCAATTGTACAAGAAAAGATAATCTCTAACATTTATATAACATGTATGGTGCAAAATTAACGCGAGTCCGGAGTCGAATAATCCCTGATTACTCTGGAATTACCTTTTTTTTTTGTTTAGCAAATGTCCCAAGAAAATTTGGCCGACGTGCACCGCAAATGTCCTTTTTTGTTAATATCTGCGGTACTACTTGTATATTGCGGACTCCTTCTTTTTGATGGTAGGGAGTCTATTTGTACTCTCATATTAAAAAGTTAATTTCTACCCATGACATAGCCCGACCAAAATCTGGTGGCGACAGATTGCTATTACGCCCTGACACCCTTCCATAGCAAAAAACCTAATCACACTCTGCAGATCTAAGATGAATAACTCTGTAATACTCAAATAAAACTATTCTATTACCGACTTTGACTTGCCTTGTCTGAAATATGAACGTTAACTAACAGTTGTCCCTGCTTCTAAACTAGAATGTATCTCTTAATTCACGGTATAATCTGCTAATTCTCACAGCATCATCAACTTCCAATCAGCTTTACCCGCCATGTTTAGCGAGGCACGGAAAAGACTCGCTAGAAAATACTACAGAATAGTACAATAGCCTGCACGAATGGCTCTCACGCAATTACAACACCAAAGCAAAGTGAAACGATGTCACAAATGTCGGGCCATTTGTAAAAACTAGATGAACATGTTCTCGTATGTAGGGGTGTTAACATGAGGACCGCAGATCGTTTAATTTCCCTTGTTCGATCCATTGCGGATTTTAGTCACAGTCGGAATGATAGTAAACATGGTGGCAAATCCATAAATTTGGTTGTATTCGTCTCAAAAAGTCGCTGTAACCCCGTAAGTACCCAGCGCATCGTAGCGCACTGATGGTTACAAGAAGGTGGACGTATACTGATTCATTTGGTATATCACATGTGTAGTGTTCTTTGGCGATACTTGGCAAATAAGGCAACTACGTGTTTAGCTGCAGCCAAGGTTTGAAACGGTATTCTAACCCTAGCAATACCGTTTCTTGGAGCTACCCATGACATGTCTAATGCAAAGGGTTTAAGCACAAACAATTATGAATTATAAGAGTAAAGGTAATACTAATCTCTTACATTCGAGTGTAATGTATTCTGGAAAGGGTTTAGCCACAAACTAATAAAATGATGAAGTGCTTGAGTAAAGCTGGGTTTACACTATCATTCTATCAACTTTCTGTTGAAAAATTGACAAGTTCATGTACTTTTCAACTAATCGACTGAAAGTCGGCAGTGTAAACGTAAAATCTGAGCGCTCAACTAGCTGATAGGAACTCCCTTTCTAATTTCTCAACATTTGGTCAGCGAGTTGATCCAAGTTCTTGCCAATCAGACACTCCGATAATAGTGATCAGGAGGTGTGTCCCTCCACCCATGGGAAGAGCACGTTTTTGCTATTGGCGCCACACTGGCCACTGGCAAAAATGCGTACCCACGTCGCCCCGCACGAACACTGCGAGTCAAACGTTGAAACGTTTGTCGATTCGCGGTTGATAACGTAAAAACTTTGAACATCTGATAGAAAGTTTGATAGAACGTAGAAAACCTATCATCTCGTCGATTTTTTTATAGTGTAAACCCAGCTTAAACTTAAAGGTAATCTCTTACATTTAAGGGTGACGTCTAGTGGAGAATCGGGAGGCCCGGCTCCTGCTAAGCCAGTCAAAGTCAAGGTGGAGGAACTTGTCAAGGACGGCAACGATATGGCACCGAGGGCACCAGTAAAGGAGGAGACAAAAGAGAAGAACCATGTTGACCAAGAGGAACGAGAAGATGAAGATGAGGAGAGCGGAGAGAATAATACCACACTTGAGGAGGTATCAGAAGCAGGGTTCGAATTTTGGCTGAAAATCTAGTGGACAGAAAGTTGGTGGTCCGCTTATTTACTAGCAGTGAGTAACGAAATAGTATACAAAAATAACCATTGGCATCAACAGCATACATGTAACTTCGAGTTGGTCAAATGATATATTTCAAACATAGGAATGTCGAGGGAGCTTCTGGGAAAGATTTTACTTTCGTTTTTCGCCTCCCCTGTCCTCGGTACCCCCATGCATAGATCAATGCCAGTGCTCGAAATAAGCATTGTCCGGTTGTCCGAGACAACCAGAATTTGTGCCGGACAACCTAACCAGTCTGAGACATTGTCCGGTGGACAACCAAGAAATGCACCCGCCACTATAAATATCATAGCCGCCATGCTGGTGTATACACAAGAAGTTCAAACAATTAATAAACATTGTTTATACGCAGAGGCTACGCGTACGGCAGCCGTATCTTAATGTCTCGAGGCTACGGGTCTGGCAGTCCCACACACAAGTACAGACAGTCACCCTATCCCAACCCTAACCCTAACACTAACACTAACTCTAAACCGACTCGGCTATCTTATATGTACTCGTGTTATAGTACCCAATTAATCTAGATGGTGTATAACCTTTTGCTTTCAATATTTTGCATCTGAACTGACAATCAATCCTAACCAACTGGTGTAGGCTAGCTGGCACAATAATGTTCATTTTCATACTTCAAATCCGAGTGTTTTCTAGCTCTGACATCAAGAAATCTTAATCGTGAATTAAATCGTGAATAATATAAAAATATGGGACCAGCTGCTATTTCCAACACTGGTATATGTCAGGTTTTCTGATTATGGTGTGGAGAGGGAAGCACATCCGCAAAGTTACATGTGCCTAGAATCTTGATGAAATAGAAGTATATACAGTTTACATTGCTTCTAGATATCTAACTGAATAAAAATAGTCCACTTTCTGCGTAAAGAAAAGTGACGAATTAAGTTAACAGCTTTGATTACGTGCGTGTCAGGTGTCGCTGGTCGTGCCCTCACTCCCCACGATAACCCCTGCGACATATGAACTTATTGTTATGGGGTCATAAAAACACTACATGCTACGCTACATGCCGCAATCGATTTCTTTGACTGTCACGAGGTTTTGTTCATGTGGCGAATCATGCGTTGAGGGAGTTCATGCCTTCGGCTCTAGATGTTTTGGATACCCCGTCTACGTTCAGGAACGGAGCGCATTAGAATGCGCTCCCGTTTACAAGTCTGTCTAAACTGCCGTTACGATAGCCGTAGTATTTCAGCGTAAGTTGAGGGGGAAAAGTGCCGGTCCTCCTGACCGGCAGTTTTGTAGAGTTGGTGACCGAAGCAAAAACTTGGTGGCCTCGGGCCTCCGGGTCGGCACTAATTTCGAACGCTGATCAGAAGTGTCACAGTGCAGCGAACTTTGGTCGTAGATAATAGTGGATGCTAATCACATACTACAAACAATAATTACAAGACATGGAATTAACCTTTTTTTATTATTTAATTGCGATTTTCTAATCTGCTGCACTAGTAGTTGTTACTGTCGTCTACTTATCTATGTGTAGTTCTGGTAGTTATGAACTATATATACTTTTAACCTTGTAATCCCATATTATTAATTATACTAATAATTTTGAAATCTTACTATTGGTCAAGGGGTAGAAATTACTATATATATGCCAGATTATCCTAGCTTCTAGTCTACTAGCAGAAAGAGGCTCTGCGTCAAATAATTTTTTGTATGGCTGGTCAAGAGATGGATATTTTTTCTAATTCTCGTTTATATTTGGTCATTGAAAGGTAGAGCAGACGTCGTCTGGAGTCGTGCAGCCGCCTGTCGTGAGAACCGGCCTCAGAAAGGGACGCAGAACCAATCAACTGGACTATCTACTCAAGGTCGTCATGAAGGCATGTTGGAAGCACCAGTTTGCCTGGCCGTTCCACGTGCCTGTGGATGCAGTTAAACTGATCTTGCAGGTAAGAGTTTATTAGATTCAAATGGATCAATAGATTCAAATGTTGCGATGTGAGACTCGCTCGCATCATTTGCATCGCTACAAATGGTTGCATGTATGTATAAAAACCAGACAATCCATGCCAGCACTGTCAGGTTGCCAGGCTCTGGCCGATATCGATATGCTGAATGTTTACTTGTGTTTACTTGACTATCTAGTACTCGTAACTAGTAGAGTTAAAACCATGTGTTCATGTTTGAAACGAAAAAGTAATCGTTCGTCAGGTAATTTTGCTTTCGTATATTATAGAACAATGTGTCTTTATGTAGTTATCGAATGAGATTTTCTCTAAGCTTTGTATTACAGGACTATCATAAAATTATAAAGAATGCAATGGATTTGGGAACCATAAAGAAAAGGCTGGAGAACTACTACTATTATACTGCACAGGAGTGCATTCAAGATTTCAACACAATGTTCACAAATTGCTATGTCTATAATAAACCTGGAGAGGTAGGCCTCACCTAGTAGTATCTTGTGCTTTCTGTGCCTCACTGCTGCAGTGCTAGCCCAGATGACTCGGTACAGACATTCGTTTTGTAAAACCAAACTATAATAGTTCATTGCATAGGTAATTTTCATGTAGTAGTGAGTATTATAGCTCTGCCACTTTATATCGAATTGTTACTATTATATAAGTTAGTAGTAAAATTATTAGTACCGTATATGATCGCGTAATAACCGCTGGCGCCTATAAGCCGCACCTCAATTTGAATCGGGTAACCAAGTATTGCGCCTAGTATATTTCCCCTCACGGTATGGCGCACTTATAAACCGCAGAGCAAATACAGGGTTGAAATCTGAGGCCAAATTTGCGGTTATTACGCGAGTATATACGGTAGTACAACCGGTCTGTGGAGAGGTGAAATGAGAGTTCTGACGCTTGCATGTTTTGTCGGTGCAGGATGTCGTCTTGATGGCGCAAGCCGTCGAGAAGCTCTTCCTCACGAAGGTGGCGCAGATGCCGAGCGAGGAAGCCGAGCTCCCGATCCCCGTTAAGGGCGGCAAGAAGAAGAAGGGGCGGCCGCCGGGGAGACCCGTCGCTGTGACGTCGACGTCGTCGTCGGTGGCTCCGGCCGCGCAGCAGCTGCCCGTGCCGAACAACGTGTCGAGTACGACGACGACACAGGCGCTCCGCTCGCCGCCGCCGCCACAGCCGCCGCCGGCGCCACCTGTGAAGGTGGCCGTCGCTCCCACGCGCGCCGAGGCTCAGGTGCGCGCGGGCGCCCAGCTGCGCACCGAGAGCCAGGTATGTGTGAGGAAGGGCAGGAAGGAAGTAAAGAAGAGAATTAAGAAAGGCAGGAGGGTTTTTGAACACGGGAATCCAACGCCGGACTCCCTACCCTCAAAAAGAGGGAGTCCGCAGCAAAATGAGGGAGTCCGCAGCAAAATGAGGGAGTCCGCAGAGGTTCAAAATTAAAGATATTAACAATAACGCATGCATGTGCTTATTTTTTAGGTTCATGCAGTTGCACGTCTGCCAAATTTTCTTTGGACATTAGCTGAAAAACACGGTATTTCCGTGGGGTCGTGCTTCGGAACGAACTAGTTAGTATGTCAGAATTTTTAGGGAGTCACACGGACTCCTGCATATGTCGAATCAGGGAGTATTTGACTCCGGACTCCCGTTAATTTTGCACCCTGCCTACATGTTTGTAAATCGAAACCATTGTGGGTCCAAGTGGGGGAACATTCGTTTTAACTAAACTCCATGGCAAGTTTTTATTTTTTTCTATTGTTGTTTTTTAGATTGCGGTGACGTCTTCGCCACCGCCGACCTCCACTGTTACGACTGTTCGTCAGGCGGTGACGCCAGCGCCGGTCGTAACGACGGCGCTACCACGTGCTGCACCAATACCTGTTCCCAATAAAGTACTCGTCTCGCCAACAAAAGTAAGCACACGCAGGGCATGAAATTAGCCAAAATGTGAACAGGCTCACATAAAATTTTAAACAGGCCCTTAGACAAATTTAACAGGCCCTTAATTTTGTTCAATTTATTCCATTAATTTATTAATAAAAGTATTAGCTTTGTGTTTATTAGGCATACTCGTATTATTTCAGTATCTCATTGCTATCAGTGGAGTTCTACTCATTTGACAGGAATTGCTGGAACATTGTAAATATTGTTGATATAAAGGCAAGATAGGCAAAATTTTGAATAGGCCAAGTGGACTGATTATATGGGGGGTTGAACGGGCGGGCTCCGGCAAAATAGCGCTAATTTCGGGCACATTCACATGCAGTGTGGGCCAGGGCCTGAAAGAAGAGAAATTAATAGGAGCGTGGGGATCTAATTGACGGATTTCAGTGCATTTGTTGGTTTATGAAGTAAAAGACTGTGTGAAATGTGGCTATGTGAAAAATTCAAGCCTAGGAAGAGGTAATATGAAAAAAATAAACTACTTTCGTAAGACAAGTACTATAATTTTGTGAAGAAATGTTATGAAAGTAGCAATACAAATGAGTTGTAGTGAATTTTTGCAACATAGACGAGCTCACAGTAGGTATATCTAGATGCATTTTGCTGCGAGAACATGCCTTGTTAACGGGTTGTCGTTGGATGACTAACCGAACCGTTGTCGATCGTGTCTTCACAGCCTAAGCGAGCCGTCAAGCGGAAGCCAGACACCACGACACCGACGACGGCGCCGTCGCTCGACCCGTCGTCCGTCTACGACTTCGACGCCGGACCGACGCCTTCGAAGATCGGCACGCGGCGCGAGAGCGGGCGTCCGATCAAGAAGCCGAGCCGAGACCTGCCGGACGAGCTGGTGGTGAGTTGTTTCTCAAGGTCGTCGCGCCACTAGTCGTAGTCATGCGGTTGGTTCGCACCACCTGGTCCAGGGTTCCTGCAGATCCTGGAAAACCCAGAGGTAGTCCTGGAATTTTTTAACTGCCGATTTCCAGGTCTGGAAATTTGTGTGAAATGCTTCGTGGTAATATAATGTTTGTTTACTAATTCTTGATTGGAGGCATAAAGGTTGTATTTGGATATTTTGCGATCACAGAAAATAGTTTGTTTATTAATGGGGAACTCAGGGGAAATTGTTTTGCTATAAGTGTACGAATACATATTCTCTGTGCGTGTGTCAATTCTAGTAGTCGCGAACTGCAACTTTGTTTCCTTTGTTCTCTTTTCTTGGTGACGTGCTAGTCACGTGCACAAGGAACAAGAACAAGAAACAAGGATGGCAGAAAATCGCCGGTGCTGCTCCAAGTAATACGATGCTTATGCTGTAATGGATAATAGTAGGAAGTTTTAATTATTATTATTATGGGAATTCTAGATTGTGTTTCTTCAGTGTTGATTTTTTTCGTTTTTCTGTTTGTAGCCCCAGCACAGTGTGAAAAGTAAGAAGGGGAAGATGTCTGAACAAATGAAGCACTGTAGCAATATACTTAAAGAGTTGACTGCAAAGAAACATGCAGTAAGTAGATGCTGAATCAAGTTTTTGTTTTTAAAAGTTTGTCGTAATAGATACTCTTGAATGATATACTTGGTGGCAAAGTAAAATACCTCCATCTATTGTTTAGTCATGTGTGGATGTAATTTCCAGGCATATGCATGGCCATTCTACAAACCTGTTGATGCAGAGGCACTGGGACTTCATGATTATTTCGATATCATAAAATGTCCTATGGACTTGAGTACGATTAAGGTAGGTGTTCGGTGTTGGTGCGGCAGTGAGGCAAGGGGTAGTGAGTGTTGTATGTGTGTAATGATTTTAACCTGTGTGAAGTGAAATTACACTTGCTTTCCTTTTTTACTTCAATAAAAAAATTTTCTCTTTAGAGAAACCCAAAATTAAATGAAATCTTATTTCCTGTGGAACAGAGCAAAATAGACAATCGACAGTACAGAAATGCAGCAGAGTTTGCCGCAAATGTCAGAGTCATCTTCACAAACTGCTACAAGTATAATCCTCCGGATCATGATGTAGTGGGCATGGCGAGAAAGTTGCAGGTACGTCACTAAATGCATGATGCGAGCATGCACGGTCGACGCGATGTCAGCCACAAGGTTGCGTGAGACCCATGTAGCTGTCGTTCATGTGCATGAATGATGTTCCCATGTGTTCGTATTTTACTGTTAATCAGTGTTATTTTTTATCGAGCAGTGTTCACAGCTTCAATGTTCCATATCCGCGTACGTCCGGTGAGACGTGCAAAGAATTGTTCATTATGAATGAAATATGTTCATTGGATTTTGTTGAAACTATGAATTCATATTTATCTTGTGGTAAACCCAAGAAATGAACTTGCCATCGAAATTTTCGATCAGCCTTCAGGAAAACTTCATCAGGATGTGACGTCCCCATAGGTGGCAGCAGGTGACGTCTATCTTGCTGCCACCTATGGGGAGGTCACATCCTGATGAAGATTTCCTGAAGGGAGATCGAAAATTTCGATAGTAAGTTAATTTCGTGGATTTAACACAAGATAAATATGAATTCGTCAATTGTTCATTCGTTGTTTGCAGCTTTAGCTCTATGTTCCTTACCCTTGCCTTTCTGCAGGAGGTGTTCGAGGTGAAATATGCAAAGATGCCGGACGAACCGACGCCGAGCATGGATGAGGAGGCTGAGGGCGGCGGCTCGTCGTCAGGGTCGTCGTCAAGCAGCGAGGAGGAGGACAGTGAGGATGAGCGCGAGAAGCGGCTGCAGCAGCTACAGGCGCAGGTGCACAAGGCATGAGTACTCACGCAGACTATCATTCGGCGCGCGGCAGCTTTGCGTATTTTCGAGTTTTGGCGATATTTGCGCGATATTCGAAAACCAAAATGGCGATCACTTAGGCGTAGCGCCATCTCTCGTCAAGATTTCAGACTTTCAGATCGAAAACATTTATTTTTGCATCAAAACTTATGCAGATATCATTATCAAGAGTATATAATGGGAGATATGCTATATAATGGGAGTTCTCCCATATATACTCTTGCTTTATATATCCCCCCTCCCTCTTCTATCACACCCAAGGTGAGCTACAGTGTCAATGACACTTTCATTTTAGATTCTTCAGAAGTCAGCGTGATGTGAGATTAGCTCGTGGCATGTACGCAAGGACAGACGTTGGTTTTTGTAGATTCTTCAGAAGTCAGCGTGATGTGAAATTAGCTCATTCGTGAAGAAAATTGTCACATTTTGCCAAGGCTGGCATCTACTATGTTTCGAGGTGGTGATGTCTACGCATGTTGCTGCCACCTTAAAAATCCTCGCCCTGTCTCGAAAAGAAAGTTAACTGGAATTTTGGTTGACGGGCAAAGGGAAGGGAAGGGTGGCGTAGTTTCAGAGTTTGCTACATGTGTTAGCAGTTTCGGATTGCAAAGGAGAAGATATCCATGGTTGAAAGTCTTTGTGGCTGAACTCGTGTATATATCCCGAACTTTAAGAATGTAATTTGGATCTAATCGTTAACGATAATACACAAAGCAAGCTTGTATCTGTTATATGACTGTGGCCTAGAAAGCTCCGAGTTCATATAATTTTATGCCCCGTAGAGGCTGTCCAGGCCTCTTCTTCATGCATGTTCATATAATTTTATGCCCCGTAGAGGCTGTCCAGGCCTCTTCTTCATGCATGTTCATATAATTTTATGCTGGTGGTTTATGGAGCTGCTGTGTTTAATATTAAAGTTTATATTTTCTTTACAGTTAAAAGCTGTTCACGAGCAACTTGCTCAGCTCTCTGCACAGAAGTCATCGAAGAAGGACAAGAAAAAGAAAAAACACAAACACAAAGAGAAGAAAGATAAAGAGGAGAAGCCCAAGGCAGAGGAGGTACTGCCTTATATAGTTTTGCATTTCGTTAGTTAATTAGCAAGATGATATATTAGTATATTGAATTCTAGCATTCAATGCTGCAGTCCCATTTTTTTGCCAAAATTTGCATTGGGCCTTAGTAGTAGAAACCTCATTGATCCCTTATTGACGATAATAAAAGAATAGTAATACGTCGTACTTGCATCGTGCTAGTGAAACTAATCGGGGACACGTGTGTCACTCTTAGCTATCGAAGCCAGCAACAGAACCCCCTGCCGCGCCGGTCAGAACGCCAATATATGCGCCAAGGCCACCCGGGGCTGCTCCAGCCAAGCCGCCTCCATCGACCACAGTTGGCAAACCAGCTAAGCCTAAGCCAGCGGCGACGCTGACGTCAGGGACCAAAGCTCAGACGCCGAAAGCCGGACCAGGGCAAAAGCGAAAGGCCGGAAAGAGCGCGGGGAAGTGAGTACGGTTGCACTCAATATTGTCTTTATGTCTCTATTAAGGATACATTTAGGGTTGTAGGGGAAATTTGGTTCAAATTTCATTACCAATTTTGCATCTTAACATTCTTAACATTGAACAACTTATGTCTATAAGTTTAGGTCCCCACCCTTTGCTGTTTCTGAGAAATGTGGGAAAAAGCAATTTTCTAAATGTAAATTTACAATTTTTGCTGTCACATAGTTAGCAATGGAGTTTCTGTGATATCTCTTTTATTAAATAGATGTGCGTTTGATTGGATTTGATGGACAGTTGTGTTGTAATGCCCTTTACAGTGGTATCTGTCCGTAACCCTGACTGTATCCTTAAGGATAGATTCAGGGTTGTAGGTGAAATTTGTCAAAATTTCAATATCCATTTCATTTGATAGATGCCGCCTCTGCACATCTTTGCATGTGTAGATAATTATGTATGTGGTTGCCAAACAGTTCAAAATCCTTGCATGTACTTACCTGCCTATTGCAAACCCCGGATTGCCCTTTGAATAGGTAATGCCCTTTACAGTAGTACCTGTCTGTACCCTTACTGTATCCTCAACGTGACAGTGCAACGTCGTGTGTCGCGTGAGGCCACAGATCTACGTGCGTGTCATTTGCGAGATGACCGTTGAGGTTTTACAACGATGAACACTGACAGTGGTCTGCGTTCGTTGTAGGGGTGCTGCGTCGAAGGCCAGTAAAGCGTTGCTGCCACCGTTCGACAGCGATGAGGAGGACAATGCGAAGCCGATGACGTACGATGAGAAACGGCAGCTCAGTCTAGATATCAATAAACTGCCAGGTAATACAGCGTGGCCACATTATAACGCAATCGCTGAAGTCCATAAAATGTCATCGCGAAATAAGCGGGGTCGCGCTAAATCGTGGGTTCAATATATACAATAATGCATAATGAAAAATGCATAAAAGCGAACAATGCGAATGAAAAATGCATGAAAGCGAACAATGCGAATGAAAAATGCATAAAAGCGAACAATGCGAATGAAAAATGCATAAAAGCGAACAATGCGAATGAAACGATGCATACTGTCATGTACACAACATGCACAGAGCAACAAGTCGTGTGAACTCATTTAGTTGCGCGATCTGTAGGCGATCGTCGCTTCGACCTAAAGGCCCCCGCACAAGTTGAGGTTCGTGCTGAGCACGAAGCTCACGCTCCATGCTCATCAGGAACATCTCCACTTTGCTCCATCTTTATCTTATTGTACTTTATCTCCACACGTGTGATGTACAAGTAAGCGTTGTTCCCTCTTTACTTTATCTCCACACGTGTGATGTACAAGTAAGCGTTGTTCCTCCACAGGCGACAAGTTAGGTAAAGTTGTTCACATCATTCAGTCTCGCGAGCCTTCGCTGCGCGACTCGAATCCTGATGAGATAGAGATCGACTTTGAGACGTTGAAGCCATCTACCTTGCGAGAGCTTGAGATGTATGTTGCGACAGTATTAAAGAAGAAACCACGAAAACCTTACAGTAAGTTACTCGTTGGAGCTCAGTCAGTTTGGAGCTTAGTTTAAGGCTGTGCAAATCTGTGTCTGAGAGTCATTCGAACAAAGTGCTAAATGTGTACATCAAAAGACAAGTGCCTGTTCTATAGTGATTGTTTTAATTTATAACTGTCACTTACGGGAAAGGAAATAGTTTTTATAGACAGGTATCTGTCCTATAAAGGTATTTGCTAATGCAGGTTTAAATCAATGTATCTCAGTCATTTATTAGCGTGAAATGTAGCGTCAACAGATAGAATTGGTCTCAGCTGTCAGTTGGCAACTATCATACATGAGAATTTTCCGCGGATCTGCGGATTTCCGTTTTTGAACTGACAAATTTTTGAATCACGCACTTTTCCACTTTTTTTGGTCATTCACTGCTCCCATGTATGCACTAATGACTTTGCAGCTCGACGAACTCCGGGAAAGTCGAAGGAGGATTTCCAGAAAGAAAAGAAGCAGGAGCTCGAGAAACGACTGCAGGAGGTCGGTGGCCAGCTAGCACCGGGCAAGAAACAGAAATCGAAAGGTAAGCGCATCGTCACATAGTATCTGTCTCATGCTCTATAGTCGCTTATCTTGCGGCTCATGTAGAATCGTATTAGCCGCTGTGCGGAATGTTTGTTCGACGCAGTGGCAGTTGCTGCGTCAGTGCGCAAGTCAATCCTGTGCGTTGTTACAGAGCTGGAGGGATCTAGCGGGCAGAAGAACAGCACGGGGGCCACGAACGCTGCCGGTAAACGGCTCAGCGACAGCAGCAGCTCCAGTTCAGACAGCGACTCCAGCAGCAGCAGCTCTTCGTCGAGCTCCTCCGACACCAGCGACTCTGAGTGACCATCTTGCGGCGCCACCTACGTTTTTTCTTCGGAAAACACGGATTTTCCTCCAGTGATCTTTAAATCCCAAACGTTGTAGGTGTGCGTGCGTGCGTGCGTATATGATGGACGTGTGTATGTGTGTGTGCATCCGTGCATGTATGAGGTGTGTGTGTTAGTGTGCGTGCGTACATATGTTATGGGTGTATTCGTGCGTGTGCGTGTGCGTGTATGTGTGTGTGTGTATGTGCGTGCATTCGTGCGTGTATATTTACGTGTGTGTTGGTGCATGAGTGCGTGCATAAACTCGTATAAAGTTATGATGATTGCGAGGCGGATTTGTGATGTGTCCGTTTGCCGTAGTTGTCGCAGTGTTGCCTGCTGTACATTACTGCTAGGCTGCCTAAGCTGTAGTGCTCATCTATGGCTCCCTTCCTCGATACTTCTCCTTAACACACTGATTAGCAAATTGGGGAAACCACGTATAATACTGCCTCACAACGTAGAGAACGTTGACGCTGTCCCGATTACTCGCAGCGACTCGGTAGTGTGTGACGACGACGGCGACGTGTTGTTAGTGACGGCAGAAATTCTGATCGTCCTCGTGCGTTTCATTCCTGCTAGGTGGGTGGCTCGTGTATGATCAGCGTCGGGGCGATGCTATCACCATATGTAAGCAGTAGTAGAAGTACACTAGTGACCGTGCTGGCTGTGTTCGCTCTCTCTAAGTCGTCACCAGCTGTGTAATGCCAGCTTACATGTATGGCCTTTAGGTAACGTGATTCCAAGTTATACTCTTTGTTATTGTTTGGTGAACATGTGTACATGCAAGATTTGGCAACAATCAAGAAATATTATATAAGATGAGTAATTAATTTGATGTGACATGCTTCGAAAGCAATGTATGTTGTACATACAAATTTATAATGTTGGCAAATAGTATTTAATATGTTTAACATGTACGAGGATGCAAATGCCTGTTTTTATATGAATGCTTGATGATTCAGCTCAAAAACGTGTTAATTTCGAAAAGAAAAAACATCTTAAACTTATTGGGGAAAAAAATATGAGAAAAAAAGCAGTCCAATGTCCATCGTGTACGTAGGTATGCAGTTTCATTATTGCATGTTTTATATATACAGTGTTTTTGTATGTATTCGCCTGCCGGTGTGAGAAAGGAAGCAGTGCTGCGCAATAGGAGTCCCCGATATCACCGCATGTCCCCGTAGAAATAGGCGTTTTGCCTGTGTCGGAATAGCCCTTTGCGTTTGACTGAGAAGAAGAAGAGGTAGTCGTGTAATCGAACGCTGACTGCGGCACGAGGGTCGGGTATAGAGCTTCCTCCACTCAACTCACCTGTCCTGTCGGATGCAGTGACATCAGCTGGAAACCCGCGGAATCTAGTCCATGCAGCCCCAGCGATTCCACAAAGGGTGCCACGTTGGTTGCATTTGTCGTTCATATCTCGATGCTAGGGTTAGTTTCGGCACAGCACCGCAGAGGCTGGTGTAGGAGGCTCGTATGCAACGTTGAAAGTGATTTTATCTGCCCGTTGGTTTTCAGGTGGTTGCTGGCTGCATGACTAATATGATGTCGTGTGAGAGATGGGGTATCATTATGAATTGCCCATTTGTACATTTGTACAGAACTACATTTTTAAACTGTAGTTAGATGTGAATAAATTATCAAGTTATTGTACAAAACAATTGCTGTTGTGTTTATTTTTCAAGGTGGTGCAATTTTTAATTTTGGAGTTTTCTAAATGTTTCTAATGTATTGCAGAATAGAAAATATGTGACATGAACACCAAGGGAATCTAACTATGTATATCTATAAATTTGTGACAAATTGATGAGACACTAATGAAATATTTTTTATATTCTTATACCAGTCTAACCTAAAGGACTTTTTTCTAACTTGTTGCTACTGCTCTAACGTTGACAAATATACTACATTTCACATCATTTCTTCCTTAACTTGTACATGGCTATTTGTAGGGATATTTTCTTTCACCTTCCGTTTTAAAATACGCATGAAACTAACGGTTGGACAATAAATGTAGTTTGTTACCTTGTACGAGCTCAATTTAGAGAGCAGTTTGCAAGAATGCAGCTCGGCAAATGTGGTGGACAAAGGTCGAAAATCACACACGTTGCAATGTTACTCCATTTTACAGTATTATACTGTAAAATGGAGTAGCATTGCAACGTGAATGCTATGTGTTCAAGCTGTTGTACAATATGTGAATTTGCCTCCAGTAAATAGCAGTTGCTGAATACAAGCAGTGTTGGACATATTCCCCATTAAGTTTACAAACGGTTTGTAGCTATACTGTATAGCTACAAACCGTTTGTAAACTTAATGGGGAATATGTCCAACACTGCTTGTTATTCAGCAACTGCTATTTACTGGAGGCAAATTCACATATTGTACAACAGCTTGTATTCACATTCCATTAGGGTCCTTGTATCACCATTGCAACTGATTATATATTAATATATGAAACTGCAACCAGCTTTACAATTAGTGTGCTTTAGTTTCTATTTACAATTTAACAAATCAAAAATTACAATGGTACACACCACCTGAAATTCCTTCATAGTATACCTTACATTAACATTTCTCAATTGCAATTTGCAATCATAGATTTAATAGCTTGGACATTTTAAAAGACTAATTTTTTGGCTAGATTATGAAACCTGCTACATTTTTACAAACATAGACATGATTGAAATGTTGGAACATTATTACATATTATCAAGAGCGTATAAAGAAGGCGTATAAAAAAAACCTTATTTATACGCTCTTGATATTATCAGGAGTGAATAATAATAGATTCCTACGAGGCAATTCTTATATTCTTCTATTATTATTCACTCCTGATATTATTATACAATTTCAATAATTAATTCCTACTAGACAATAAAGAACCGTGCCATTACACATCTGAAATTTATTAACGTAAAGTAAGACACTTTATCCATATGACCTTCCCTGCTTCACCAATCTTTACTTTGATTGTATCAGGTAGGTGGTATTTAGAATCGTACATCACACATGGTTGTGATATTGGAATTTTATTCATTATATCTGGCACTTTACTGTTCTGGTTACACATCCTGTACTTCATCGTAACTTACACAAAGCCATATACACAAACTGCATTACTGAATTATCAAGAAGCCGTGATTTTAAAAATTTAAGTAAAAAATTGTGAAATGATTTGATTTAGGGTTGAAAGATCAATTTTTTGGCAGAAATGCCTGAAAACTATGAAATATGGGAGGCATGACATCTACAATAAGGTACATGAAAAAGATTGCTGCAGTTTCTTTTACTGGCATCTGTTTAAAAAAAGATGACAAGAACAGAGTAGAAACAGTACCACTCACACTGTCATGCGTACCTGAAAATTGACCGACCGAGCGAGATTAACATTCAACTTGGCATACAGTTGCTAAGTCAGTAAATCACACGTTAGTTACGCATGGATCCCGAATCATAGACTTTGTGGCACTTTGCTACTAAGCAGCATTTTATAACGCCCTCCACACCAATTGGCTACTTGGCAACCATCCCTGGCGGATACACCAGTAAGAGTAGATATTTCCATCAAAAGCATGCGCGCGAGGAATGCAGTTATCACATCTTCGTGTTGTTCCCCCTCAAGCGGACGGGTTCGCCTTCATCAGCTTGACGTCCGACTCCACCATCTCACTCACAAGCTGCTTGAACGGCGTCGTCGACTCCCAGCCGAGCTCCGTCTTCGCCCTTGTCGCGTCTCCCTGCAGGAACTCGACCTCCGTCGGCCGGTAATACTTCGGATTGACGCGCACGCGCACGACGCCCGTCGCGGCGTCGCGCCCCACCTCGCCCTCGTCGCTACCCTCCCACGCGATCTCCACGCCGATGACGCGGAACGACTCGACGACAAACTCGCGCACGCTGTGCACCTCGCCCGTCGCGATGACCAAGTCGTCCGGCGCGTCCTGCTGCAGCATGCGCCACATGGCGTCGACGTAGTCGCGCGCGTGGCCCCAGTCGCGACGCGAGTCCAGGTTGCCGAGCTCCACGCGCTCCTGCTGCCCGAGGTGGATCTTCGCGACAGCACGCGTGATCTTACGCGTGACGAACGTCTCGCCACGCCGCGGCGACTCGTGGTTGAAGAGGATGCCGTTGCACGCGTAGATGCCGTAGGCCTCGCGGAAGTTGACGACGATCCAGTAGGCGTAGAGCTTGGCGACCGCGTAGGGTGAGCGCGGGTAGAAAGGCGTCGTCTCACGCTGCGGTATCTCCTGCACCTTGCCATAGAGCTCACTCGTAGATGCCTGGTAGAAGCGCACCTGAAACATAGACGATGGGTTTATCGCACAAGAATTTTGCAATGGCGCGCACGTGCAGTCATCTGGCAATGTAAGAGCGAATTTGATGATACAGTAGAAGTCCAAAAATCTGGACTGCTCGGGGATTGGGGTCGGTACGGATTAGTGTTGTCAATCGGTTGTAATTTGGACCCAAGTAACCGATGATCGGTTACAATAGGTTACTCGGGGTTTGTTTTGCATTGTTTACTACTGTGTGTATAATACATGTATGGTAATAAAGGATAACTTGTATAGTAGCAATAATATCTCTGATT